GGTTTGTACTGTCTTTTTCTATCTTGGAAGGCTAAGTATGATGGCAAATGAAGATATAGAGCGATCATTGCCTTGGGGACTGTCAAGAGGGAAGGAAGAGGGGCTGAAGGAATAATTGGCATATTAGCCTAACCATAGTGTATCTGTGTCTCTCCCTCCCAGGAGTGATTCTGTACATATTACTAGTGGGGTACCCTCCCTTTTGGGATGAAGATCAGCACAAACTCTATCAGCAGATCAAAGCCGGAGCCTATGACGTAAGGGCACTTTCTTGCTGAGTACCTGCATGGGTGTAGAAGCCATCCAAAACATGGCACTATCTTACTTGGTGTCCAGCAGCAGGCCCCAAGCTACTGTGCAAAGTGATGTTTGGCGTGTTCATACACCTCGTTGTCTTCACTGCCTGGGATGCAGTCCTGTTTGGGGCTACTGAAGGGATATGTGGAAAACATCGCAGTGGGCACCAAGACGTTGCTGGTCATTAGGGAAATACAGAGCTGGAAATGCAGATGATGGGAAATGGTGTCTTCTAGTGCATTTACCACAAGGTGCTGCAGATGTAGCCAATGCTAACTCTTTCGGGGGAGCAGAGGAAAGGTAGAATGAAGGAGCCTGTCTTTATCAAGACCTAACTAGAAGTATGGGGAGCTGTTCTGTAGAATAATAGCTTAAAGTATGGCCTCTGGTCTCCTCAGTGCCGTAGTGGAATTTCTTCCAGCCATGGAAAGTGTGGAGCCCAGTGAGAAGGCTGAATGGTAGGGGCCTTTGAGGGGTGGCTTTGTGGTGGGGATCAGCGTGGTGGGTTGGAGGCTCTGGTAAAAAGCCAAGCAGTTCATGGAACAGTTCGCAGAATGTTGCAAAACTGAGGTGTAAAAAGCTGTCTGAAAGAGAGGAATAGCAAGGAGGTTAGTACTGGGGAGCAAAGGTGGTGTAAAATGCGGTTTGGGTACCACAGCTTGAATGTTTGACATAATTATTCCATGTACGGAGAGGCTCAAAATCATAGCTCAAAGCCTATGGGCATGAGTATCAAGAGGAAGTGGGGGAGTTCATTTTGTAGGCCGTCTTGTGGTTTGTATTTTTAAAAAAAAAAAAAAAAAAGGTGAGGGTTCTGCTGGACCCCAGTTATCTCCCAGCTTCTGTGCCTGAAACCATAAGGTCTGCCTAACCCCGTGTCCTGGCTCAGTGGCTTCCTGAGTGAAAGGAAAGTGATGTCTCTGTACTTGCTAGCCTTAAATGGACTTGTGTTCTTCTCTTGCCTTCCTGCCCCTATTGTTTCTGTCTTGCTTGTTCTCACTTGAAGTGTTTTTGCACCAATTATATCGATGGGGATTTTCAAAGCACTTCAGGGGTTAAACATCTAACTCTTTCTGTAAGTCATGAGGAGTGAAGTGTCTGATGCCTCCTATCTACCTGCTGGTTTTGAATCCTTATCTATCCTGAACAAGTTCAGTAGATTCTTCCCCTGTTTTTTTGTCTGGTAGAAAACAGCTCCCGTTTTACTGGCGTACCTGCCTCTGGTGTCCTTACCCCAGCACCGAGTATCCACTGGACTGGTCTGTTGTTACCTGTTGACCATAGAGGAAGCGACAACTGTGAATTGGACTTTGTGCTGTTGGGTAGGGGGTTTGCAAGGCATTACCGTGAATACTTCAGAGTTTGGGTGGGGGGAAAGTGTCCTGGCTAAAAGCTCAGTATCATAATTTTTGAGTAGTCTCTTGCAACGTTTGCAGAACGAATTGTATAATGCCTTGCTGATGCCTGAGAGTGCAGAAATAAGATTATATGCAAATCAAATATGGTGGGTGTATTTTTATGACCCAACTGAGCACAGCACAAAATGCAGGAGAAAAGAGGTGGGATCAACTTTTTCTAAATGTTGTAGTGCTGTAAGGAAACATTCTCAGGATAGATCAATCTCCTCACCGCTTAAAGACAGGGGACTTTTATCCCGACAGCACATTTATCTGTGTTCTCAAGTTCGCCTGTGTATGTACAGTAGATTCATAGGAGTGAGACATACTGCATTTAATATCAGCATGCTGTCATCTATACCACATGCAAGCATCTGGAGGATGGCATAAATATCTCATCTTTAACATTACTGGAATTATAGGAGGGAGCAGTTACCTCTCATGGGTGTTCAGCAACTGAAATACTTGAGATTCTTTTCTTTGTTTCTATGCCTCTCTATTCCCATCCACTATTACATCTCTCTTGCTCCCCAAGTAACGATTTCTGGATTCGTAGATGCTTGCTAACAAGCTGCTGGTGGGTTGCTACACCTAAGTGACGGGTATTGTTCCAGGATATTGTGCTTTATGGTGGGGAAAGTATACTTGACGGGATGTTCTCTGTTAGTGTTTTTTCATGAGGTTTTGCTGTAGTTAAGTGTTTGTGATTTTGCATAAGCTGCTAGAGCTTTTTAGCATGCTGGAGAAAGAGCAAGGTGGGGTAAAAAAGATAGTGCTTGTGTTTTTCATGTCAGAACTCAGTTAAAAAGATCTGTGACTTTACTTTTTTGACTGTTGAGTGTAAAAGAAATTCAAAGGTCTGAGTGATTCCTAAAAGGCTTTTAAACTGTTAAACTGTCTTCCTGCCTGTGTCTGGTGAATGGTACAGGTGTGTCCTGCTTTCTGGTACCATTCATTTGCTGGATTCTGTACGATTTTCGTTCAGTGTGGATTTTCACAAAAATTGATGTTTTTTACAAATATGTTAGCCCTGGTATCAAGAGGGCAAAAGCTGGAATTCAGCTGTGTAAGAGGGAGAATCTCTTCTGCTAGTAGAAGATATTTTCAGTTCATCATCTGTTCCTTCTTCCTCTTTCAGTTCCCATCACCTGAGTGGGACACTGTGACTCCTGAAGCAAAGAATTTGATCAACCAGATGCTGACGATAAACCCAGCAAAGCGCATCACAGCTGACCAGGCTCTCAAACATCCATGGGTCTGCGTAAGTGTTTTCTTCTATTACAGATTGATTTGTGGTTTACCCTGAACTGACATGTCAAGAAGACTTAGCTGCAGAGGAGCCCAGAATATTTTAAATATTTCAAAATGTTATTTTTTTGGAGGCTGACCTTCAACAAGCCAACTTTGTCATGCTGTGGTGCTTTTATTGGCACTGTAGGAAAAATAAATCCCTTATTCTTTCAGAGGTTTTGTGAATGTCCATAGTTTCTGGTTTTCCCCACATCTTCTCTTGCAATCCATATAATCCTAAAATGTCTGATGGAGTTTGGCATCAGACAAAATATTGTAGGATTATTTTGTTGTTCATCTCTATTTCAGTTTATTGTGTTGCATCTTTGCAATGTTGGAACATTTCTGCTCTCTGTAGCTTAGCTGGCTGTAAACCTGAAATCAGCGAAAAATCTTTTGGTGTTCTGTGTATGTAGTTTCTGCCTTGCCAGACCCCACGCATGAGTATTTTTTTGTCTTTTGCAAAGTTGGCAAGGAAATCCCAGAGTGCAGCTGGGAGTGGGCGTAGGGGAGGGCAGCAGTGGTGCAATTCTATCTCTGCAGGATGAAATGGTTCCACCTAAGTCTAACCAGATGCTCTTGTAATACCATAGCATACTTCTGCTTTCTAGGATGTGTCTAGTGTGGTCCTTCACTCATTTTTTGTTGAGAAACTGTGGTGTTTTTTTCCTTCCGTCACAAAACAACAAACTAGCAATTCAAACTTATGTGAACATCTGTGTAACAGGAGTGTAGTGTGGGCTGTAAAGTGATGCTAGTTTCTTGGAAGTCAAAACTTCATACTAGCTGAGACTTTGCATCTCTTTTTTTTTTTTTTTTCCCTTCTCCTTGCGTGCTTGTAATCAATAGCAGTTTCTGTACATTTAACTTTTGTCCCAGTGCCTGTAACCAAAGCTATATGTATTACGATAGCTCACTCCCTGTGGCAACACAATATAGAATGGTTCAAAGAGGCTTTCCTTCTCTGAGTTATGGGGAGTTTGATTTAACTTCACAGCCATTTCAGCCTCTCACCCAAACTGCCTCCTGTTGAGTCTGTTGTTTCCATTTGCTCTGCAGTCTCTGTGTGTGCAACATACGCTTTCTTTCTGGAGATGTATTGCTCCTCTGAAGTACACGTGGTAGGAAATCTTAAGTTTATCTGAGACACTGAGTTTCTTAGCATCACTGAACTTCTGAAGTATGTGTCCTGACTCTTTTAAGCCCACATTGAACAACTGGACATCACTGTCACTCCTAAGGAGGCTGAATGAACAATGACAATCAAAGTTGTTAGAGAGAACATTTAGCTACATTCTCCCTCTACACTGCCGTGTGTACTGCAGCAGGTGACTAGCTTTGCTGACACAACCAAAGCAGTGACTTCCCATGAAACTAGCTGAAACGAGCATGGTTTACACTTCTTTTGGGTATTGCAGAATTTTTTCCAAGCAGGAAAAAGGTAGTGGAGGGTTTGTACACACCGATCTGCCAAGTTAGTCATTCACCCACTGTCCTTGTAAAGGGAATGCAGGCTTGTGGCTCTATGCAAGAGCAACAACTGCTTTGGCATTAGTCTCTGGTTTCCTCATGCGCTCTAAATGCCCGGCAGCATCAGTCTCTGGTTTCCTCATGTGCTCTCACCAATGGGCAGCACTTCTGGGAAGTTCTCTTTTTGCAGCCGATGGGATCCCAGTCTACTGTGGGTGACAGGTGGGCATCGCTGACTTAGAGGTTATGCTCAGATTTTTGCATTGGTACAGTAGAGCTTTATGATCTTTCCTCTTACACACTGAAAATCTATGTCTGCAAAACTGATGCAAAGATGCCGAGGCCTCTGCTAGTCAAGTACTTACATTCAGGGAGTTGCCACATCCAAGAAGGCTACTGTTCACTAGTATTCACTTACTGCTTGGAATTTTCCTTTAGAGCTATAACTAATGCAACCCAGATCTTTTCTGTAGTGCCTCTAACTCAGTCCCCCATGGGTATGCTTCTTCATTTGACTTTGTCTTCTTACTGTCTTGATCCATTTGTGTGCCTGAGAGACAGGGAGCATTGATTCTCACCTGCACCTCAGTCACAGAGTTCCTTGGGCGCAGCCCTGTAATAGCCAACCTTGACTTAATATGTCTTGCTTTATTGGGAAGTTCTTAAGTTATGAACTGGTTGCAGTGTTTTGCAGCCATGCAGTGGTGAGAGTCTTGGCAATGTCAGCTTGCATGTCATGGTTGTGCGCAAGTGGAGAGAACGCCACTGGCTGATTTGGTTAGGGTATGTTCTTGATCTTTTGCTGTTCCTGTTTTTCAGCAACGATCCACTGTTGCTTCGATGATGCACAGGCAGGAGACTGTGGAATGCTTGAGAAAGTTCAATGCTAGAAGGAAGCTAAAGGTAAGTATATATTCGTTTGCCTGAAGTTTATTTTTAATCCTCTGAATTTGAGGTTAATGCCTTCCTAGCGACCTTTTTTTTTTTTTTAAAAAAAAAAAAAATTATTTTATTATGATTAGCTCACTGATGTTAGCAAAGTACCTTTTATGGTCCTCCAGTACAGGGTACTAAAGAAGTGTATTGAGGAGCTGGGTAGTTTCTTTCTCCAAAGCTGTAAGTTTCCCATGCCTCTTCTGCTACGTAATCACCCCTTCTACTTCCTGCAAGAGAGTTGAAGTAGAGCAACCGGTTCTTAAATTCTGGGGCTTTTAGTTCTGATCGCTCTCTGCCTCCCAGTAATAGTGTATCAGTTGCCTGTAGCTAGGGCAAAGCCTCTGGCCTGTGCAGGTAGCAGCCATCTGCTCTTTGAAAGTTAGGAAGCAACTATGTGTCTCAACGTAACTCGTAGTGCTATTGCAGATTTCCTAGGCTATCCTGCCTTTAGCTGCCGCTCTAGAAAGGCAGGACTCCGAGTGGTCCTGTGTCAGGTCCAACAGTCACATCTGAGAATCCTGGATGCACTAGGACTTTACAGGGTAGCACTGGGATACCTCTGCTTTGGCACGTGATGCGCTGTGTTCTCCATGGGTCAGCCCAGCCCCTTTCTGAAGTGAGTGACGCTGTTTGTTATCCCTGCTTTCTCTTCCCCACAGGGTGCAATCCTCACGACAATGCTTGTGTCTCGGAATTTTTCAGGTAAGTTCTCACTGTTTCCATCCCTTCCTTGCTTTTGTTTTGTGTGAGTGAGTTGGGATATTTTACCCGTTTGGGGTTGAGTAGGCGGGTAGGAAACATACTCATAATTCATCGTGGTGTAATGGTGGTTGCTTTGTCTTGGCTGGTGACCGGTGTGAAATAGGAAGTGATTTGTCTTGGGGGGAGCACATGGCACTGTAGCCTGGTACGAAACAGAAGTAGTCAGCTTGCCACAATCCTCTCATGGTATTTTGTTATCCGATTATTTTTGGGAAATTCTAGCTGGCATTTGTTAGCTTCCCCGTCTGACACCAGGAGTCAAGAACTCTTATTAGGTAGCAGTGATTCCTTTAGACCTGAGGCAGGGACACAGAGCAAGTAATAATATTGGTAGGAATAGAGACAGGAGCTATTTGGGTATTATATTACTTTGACTCATCAAAAATGGGTCTGAAGCATATAGCTATTAGAGTTTTCCTTCTTGGAGTCTCAGAATTGGTTTTCATCCTTTTAAGCTTAATAACTGGTAGTCTGGCTTCCACCCAACTGCATTACGTAGTGCACTTACTGAAAATGCAAAGCTCGACATGCAAATCAGTGCTTTTTGGAAGATGATTGTCTTAGCTCAGCACATCTAGGTGATGCAGTCTTATCTGTCTTCATTTCCATTTGGGTGGAAAACCTCTATTTGCAAGTGCTTTTGGTTTATGGGATTGTTTGCTTTCTTTGCCCTCTTTGCCATTTTTTTTTCCTCTTCTAGAAAGGGCAATCATTGGATGCATGAGTCAGAGTTTTATTGCCTGACTACAGTTACTTTCAAGTGAAGGTTTGACCTATGGATTATAAGTGATGATGGATGAAATGGAAGTGTATTAATTTCATCTGGCCATTTACTAATGGTGGATACCAATACTTCTATTCTGGGTGATGTTATAATAAACTTCTAAACAAAATGAAAACCTCTGTGAAATTATCATCCCAGCATTCAAAGTACACATTCACGCATACATTCTTTTGTGAAATCAAGGCTGCATTTTTAACCTCCTGTATGGTGATTTAAAAAAAACCTTCAAGCGTGTGAAATCAAGCTACAATTAAGGGACAACCTTCAGCAACTTCAGAATGTTTTTCCTTGGTTCTTGCTTTTAGGTGAACCTGTGCCAATATGCTGGAACTAATTGTGGGTGCAGCAATTTCTCTTTACTGCATTTGTGATAGTTTGGCCTTAAAGGGACAGAATAATTTTCTCCATTCACCTGTCCCAGGATTGTGCTATTACAGGACTTAAAAATTATACATTGTTTTCTGAGAGTGATTTGGAAATAACTGAGGAGCTGTGGCACAACAACAGGGCTTCCGCAGGACTGTATGAAACTTAATGTTTTCTTGGGCTTTCTGCTGATGTGAATGTTTTTTTTATCTATTCACACAGGTAATTTTTATTTCACCTAATTGATCATTCTGAAATAGTCAGGGTTTTTTTTTTTTTTAACCAGCAGTTTTAGATTAATTTTTAATCTGCAAATGTTGTCACTTCTAATGAAGCTGCAGAAGTGCTTGGGTAAGAAAATCTCCTGTGGCCCAGATTTTGAGTACATGAAATGCCTGAGAGAAGGGTTCTCCTTAATGGTGTGTAACCTGTATGTCCACTTATCCCCTGAGCTAGTATCGAGGAGGAAGAGGCTTGCTCTGCTCATTCTTCTCTGTCTCAAGGGCTGAAGCTGCTGGATCTGCTTCAGTTAACAGCTGAAGAAAAGGAAATCCTAGGTGGCCTGTAGTGAGCACAGGGTTCTCAGTATCACTGTGTTCTGCTTTGACTATAAGCTGTAATCCCAGGTAATGAGACACTCTGAAAAACTGTCCAGAAAGAAATGTTGTGAATTTAGATGCAAAACATTTATAGCCTCTGCAAATAGTAGCTATTCCTAATATTTTGATGTGTTTTGAAAGTAGGGAGATCAGCTATTCTTGTTTTCTTTGCAGGACTGTGTGTAATATGAGCTTGACTTTTTTTATGACTGTTACTTTTTAATTTACTTGGCTTTTTTAATTGCTGCAGTTGAAATCCATAAATCTGCTGGAATTGAAGAATAAGCCATGGTAACTGAAAGTAAAAAGTTAGAAAGTCCATGTGGGAACTTTGGGTAGAGCTCAGACTTTTCCTATCATGACAGGTCATCTAACTGTGCTTGAAAAGTTCTGAAATAGTACTTGTTTCTTTCC